TCCACACTCGCTGGAATAATCGTCGGGGCCCAGAAATGTCTTCTTTGTTCGGCGTTGGCAATGACAAAGTGGAATTAAAACATTCTTGCACAACGAAAACCTCGCTTAAAAAATTCAAATGAAACCGTCTGNCCTCGCTTAAAAAATTCAAATGAAACCGTCTGGACCAATGCAATAATCATAATGATATACGCAGTTGTGTTTTACGGTGTTGTCCGATGCATCGGCAATTAGTTATTGTATTTATTACACAATGACTGTCAAACGGCATCGTATTTTAAGGCGCCATACGGAAGTCTGCCTTGGCCAATCGGTCTCCGGTGTTATTGCGCTCTGGTCGTGATTTACACTTCACTGTGCTGTACCCGATGCGTGTAATCCCAAATGAAAAGTCTTGAATTTATTTATAATGCGTCATAAATTCACTCGAAAAACCAATAAAATTTCCCTTTCCCGTGCACCGCTAATGAACGGCACATGCGTTTTACTTTTTTTTTCAAGACCGGTTTATACAGTGCAAGCGCCCACCGAACACAATGTTAAGTACCTTACTATGTATTTTTTTGAAAAGATATTCGCTACGGCAAACATCTAGATGCTGTTATACATAACATTGACGTTTTCTTTTTTTTCTCTTGTGTCTCCGCATTATCAGATATTGTGCTTATATATATGTGTGTGTGTATTTTATCGTTGCAAAGTTACCAACTAGTAATATATCAAAAACAGCGTGAAAAGGACATGTCCTCGCGGCCAAAAGTTAGAAAAGTGAATTTATGATTACCAAAATGTGTCCTGAGGGGTGGTTTTATTTTTTCTATACATACACACCGCACTAGGCCGTGACAAATGAATCCATCTTGTCCACGTTTCGGGGTCAGATAGAGAAAAACGAGTTTTCAATTGAAATCCTATATTTCCGCAACAAGGGTGACGGCAAGTAAAAAGCCCACTTTGGAGATTATATAGTTTAGAATTCCATTTCTTTATCTCTTTCGCGCCACCGACTCAATCTTCAGTTTCCCTACTCTAATGGGAAAAAGACTTATTTTATTTTAATAAAATCTACATCCCCAATGGTCATTGTATAAAAAAATAAAGTACAATCGTACGGTACAATAATAGCATTACGTTGTAAAACTATTGTGCACAAGAAACGTGAACAAAGAAATCAAATTTAATAAAACAGTAATCCCTGAATAATTTTCAGTTTAATTATTTTTTAAAGAGTGTAATATAAAATCGATCAGCCGAACATTTGTAAAAACACCGAGTTTGATATTCAGTTTGCTTTGACCGCGCTTTGCATTCATAACAAAATCACCATACCTAATTTAACAATTTTAACTAATCAGATATCTGTAGCACAGTTCACTCAGAAAACAATAGGCGTTGTTGCAACTGACAAACGCTTTGGCTGACCAGTGACTGAGATGTAAACAATAACGATATTACATTAAAACCGACTGCATGTCGGTGTTGATGAACGAGATATCTAGATTTGCTCTCGGCCCTACCAGTACTGCTAATTTTTATTACTTCGTCCCAATGGGGTTTAATACGACTGTGTGAGTATGTGTCTGTAAACGGTCAATGTTATTATTGTTGGAACAATGGACCGAAATTCAGGCTAAGCCAAAAACAATATTATTAAAAGCCACCCGGCGGCTATCAATTGTGTTAATACTGCGTAATTAACCGCCATAATCCTCGGTCAGTCGTGTGTTTATCGAAATCCAAAAAACCATAATGGAATCATCGTTTCAATAAAAAAATTGTTAATATTTTAACGATTTGAAACATTTAACAATGGCATTAAAAATAATTCTGCCTTTGGTAGCTAACGGCCGTAGAACGTACAATTTGACTGGAAACTGAAAACAATACTGCACCTCGCACGAGTGATGGATGAATCGTGAAACTTTTTTATAAAAAATAATAATATTATAACGAGAATATTAAGGAATGCACAAACATAAGTGTGTGTATACATATACATTGTGTGCTCTTGAAATGTGTTTTGTAATCCGTAAAGACAACCAAACTTTATAAGACGTCGCAGTACGGCTTATACGTCAAAATTCATTTTTAATACCACACATACCGATTTGCTAAAGTTCTATGGTGTGGAGGAGGAAAGAAAAGAGATGGCGCAGTAGTTGTTCGTCTTCAAAGCTTATCGTTATTGACAAAGTTTTTTCTTCCTCTGGTGTAACGATTGTGCAAAGTTCTTATATTTTTCTCCTAAAGGCTGTTTTGCTTATCCACCAGAGTGTTGTTTGTTAAGGGAAATTCAAATAAAAATGTAATTTAATGTTTGACGTTTTAGCGACATTGTTTTCCACACCCACCTCACCTCGCCAGGAACACTTTGTTCGGGCGTGCGACGACACCATAAAAATTTACCATCGTTAGTGTATGTCGTTTACCCTTCCTCCGCACCTCCCGCCGGCAGTGCATAAAGCGAAATTGGCGTAATGGAAGTCGCATCTGGCAACCCCTTAAGCGCGTATACACATACACACAACTAACCGCGTGCACATCATAAAGGAACTTACAGCAGACCGCGGACAGGGTGGTGAGCTAACCGAAGAGAAAAATAAGTTCAATTCGTATTATTCGATTCTTGAGCTCCTCTCATTATGCCACCGGCGTAGGGGGGCGTGATGCCAAAGTCGTTTTTCATATTTCTCTCCGTTCCGCTCCTCCTGTCGCGAACGATACGGACGCGCGTGATGGAAGATTTTCAGCGTTGTCGTTTTTTATTTGTTTCACGTTCTCGTCGTCATCAATCGCCGCGATATTAAACGAATATGTTTCTTAGTCTCAAAATCAAATCGTCATCCATCAACTCTAAGGAGTGCGGTAGTGACGGCGGCTCCGAAGGGAGACAGTATAAAAAAATAAGAACAAACTCGAAGAAGAATGACTACAACAATTATCATAATTCGTTACCAATGGTTTTTAAGAGAAAATAAAGCGGTCGGTCCATAAGCGAAACCCGCCAAACTAAGACGCGAGAAAAGTTAATAACGTCTTCTTCGAGGCGTGTAAATATTTAACGAAAAATGGCTGGAAGCGTTATAATAGGCTTCATTTCTTTTTAGGCTACTCACCCCCCCCCCCCCC